TATATTATACTAAGAGAAAAACTAGAGAGAGAAACTAAACTTAATTTTTATAATGACACATCAGTAAAATCATATGCGTCACTTTGTAGAGCCATCCTTATAAAAAAATTATTGAAATTGTGTTCAAGTCCTCTAATTTCATATACTTAAGTAAACTATAAATCAGGATAAATTAACATTTACGAACATTTACAATAAAATTAAAGATGAGATATTTTTTCGAATTTTAAACTGATTGGTTTTCCTCTTAATAAATATAGGATAATGTCTAAATCAAGAATTAAATGTGCAACATCCTACTATATTAGAAACAAAAACCTCCCTTTCAAACACCTCATATGATTGCCACGTGACATGTAGAAAATACTAAATTGCCCTTTTGTCTAACCATAACTAAATTACTAAATCTCCCTTTGTACTTTACGTGACACGTTTTTTTTTTTTAATTTTTTCTTTATGTTTCATTCAACTAGAGTGGTTTTTTAAACTGAATTGATCAATTAGGTTTTTTGTTACAAAGTGTCAATTTTGTTTTAAGCGTATACCCTTTGGATGAAATTTATTACAAAGCTATTAAAAATCTCCAAAACTAAATATTGATTTGGCACGACCAATGGAGAACATCAATAAATCATCTTACTAATATTTAAATTTATTAGGATGTTTTTATATTTTATCTAATATTTACTTCAACACATATATTCGATTAAGCTATTTATATTTAATAAGTGACACTTATAAAACATTTCTAAAACATACATGGCGAAATACAATTTATTTTTTTTTTTGCGAAATACAAATATTTCTATGATCACACTTATAAAACATTTCTAAATCCTTCAAACATTTCTAAAATATATCGCTCCAAATACAAAATTTTATTTTTTTCAAATATAAACATTTCTAAGATCTACAGATAGACTGGGCCAGGGTCGCGCATTGCGCGACCAGACATCACTAGTATAATTAGGTACCAATTGAGGGAAGCATGACCAATAGCCTTCGTACAAATAAACTAATACTATATCTATGCATCATCTCCTCAAAAAAATGTATATAAATGATTTCATGTTGCATTTAAAAGTCTCAAACTCTCCTCTTCCCTCCCCGAATCCTTATTCTCTTAATTTCAATTCCCCGAGTGTCTTAACCTGATTTTATTACATATGTATTAGATTTGACGAAAAGTTTATTGAACTTTTGCGGGTTAGATGTTGAAAAGTTATCAAATCAAAAATCTCGCCAACTATTAGTTCAAGGATATGGAAATATATTTTTGTTGTGATAAAATTTTTATCTGATGAATACCTTGTTCTTTCGTATAGCAAATTAATTTACTGTGTTTATTATAAACTTTTTTTAACATGATTTTTGACACATATTGAATGTGTGTGGCTGGTATTTCAGTGACGAGCCCGGTGTCTCCTGTTGTAATAGCACAAAATCAATGTCTACATGCACATTCCTCCCCTCCAGCGATGAAGAAATATAAAACAAGCAAAAGTGTTTGAAAGAACGCTCATTTTCTATAATTTCAACTCTTACTTTATTTTGGAAGTAAACGAGTCGAGAAGCGGCTGCTAAATTGGGTTGTTATTGCTCATTTTCTTCGCATGAAAAGTTAACTAGAGAAGCTACTATTAATTAGTGTTTTATTTTTATTTTTATTTTAAAAAAAATATATTTGGAATGTTCCAATTAGTAGTTAGTATTTTGACTTTTGATATACCTCGGCAGGTATATTATATTCAGATTTTTCTGAGTAGAAAATATAAAAAAAAAAACACTAATATATATTGCACTACACTTTGTTCAATGGAGAATGTGTTCTACCAATGAGAAAGAATTTGAAATAGAGAATGAGTTCTTGCAACGATAAGGAAATAGAAATGGAGGATTGGTTCTCCTAGCGCTTTGAATTTTAATTTCTTTTATTATATAGTTTGCTCTTTCAAGATTAAATTTCAGCTGTTTATGACTCTTTATTGAATTTTCATTGGAGAAAAAGTAGCGGATTTTCTTTAAGGAGCATCGATTTCTAAACATGAGAGAAAAGATATTTACCATCTCTATATTTCGAATCCAGATTTTTTAATTGATTTTCACAAAATCAAGGGTTTTGTTTAATTTGATGATGTCCTATCAAAAAATGATGAAAGAACAAAATTTTCCATTTGTCTCTTCTATGAATGAAGCAACAAACATTTAATCATAAAAGTATACGAGAATTATCTAGTTATATATAATAGAGAAATCAGAGAAAGTGGTTAATATTTTCTATAGTGACACATAGGATTCGGCATTATTTCATTAATCCAAAAATAACTAACTTTGTGTAATATCAAATAAAGTCTTCATAGGTATACATGATTAAGAAATTTGCCCAATAAAATTAGTTTTGCACTAAAATTTTATAATTGACATTTTTTAAAAAAATAAATACATTACAATAACAATATACATTTATTTACTAGAAAAATGGTCCAACATTTTGATCTTGGTACCACTTTTAATATTTTGATTCTATGTGTAAATATATATATATAAATCATTTATGTATCGCATTTTCCTTTATTGAAAATCTTAATAATTAATAGTATTTTTCAAAATCTATACATATGTGACACACATTTTTATATTGTATAAAAAAACTCCAAAAAAATGTAACATACCCCGCATATCGTGCGAATTTAACATCTAGTATTATCACTATGGGTTGAAAAGGAATATCTTGGTTCACAGCAATGTGGCCGTTTTTGAACCATTACTTAACAATGCTGCCTTGATTCACCTGAGTTCTGATGAATTCCACTTTCAAAATGATAATAATATGACCAAAAAAAAACACTGGTAATTTGTAAATAATTTTATTTAAATTTAAACACAACTAATATTTTCAATTCACATAATTGTTAAGAGAAAAGGTACGAAAATAATACGTGTCTTAAATCTGTAAAACGACATTTTTTTTTTGTAACGATATACATTTTCAAATGAACGAAAGAATTCCATACAATTTGGGGGGCCGGACAAAATATTTGCCCCACCCGGTTGCTGGGAGATTGATTTGTGATGAGTCCATATCCATGTAATGGTGAAGAATCTGCAATGTCAAAGGGATGATATAAGAGGATATAGTTTGACCATATATATTACTACTGACACAAGAATATATTCTCTTATCATGACTACTAGCATTTGCGGATAATTGAACTTTGGTCAGCAAAACTTTCCGAGAGAAAATCACCCTCGAATATTTGAATTCGTCTGCCCAAAAGGCAAAAGATAGATCGATTTGTGACAAGTGGAATCTCGTAACCTCCCTATTTAAAGCTCTTCGTATGGAAACCATTTTCATCAACATTGAAATTTGAAACCATCCCAGAAAAAAAAAAAAAAAAGAGTTTGGACGAAAACTACTTGAAATTAAAGGAAGAGATGTCTTGTATGAAGATAAAGAGTCTTGTTTGGTAGCCAAGGATGACTTGCCTAAATCCATTCCTAAGGTGTCAATGATACTATCATATACACCAGTAAAGGTGGTTTCTAGGCGTCATCCTGTGGCTATCCTGACTGGCTCTTATTATTCATGCTAGACAACTTCTCTTCCATGCATGCATTTGTAGTTAATTTGTAGTCAACAGCAAAAAAAAAAGCGCTAGAAAACATCTATATATTTATGAAGCTGAGAAATGATGCAAAAGCGTGGGCGATAAATTGAGTGTTGGCGGTTGCAAAATAAAGGCACGAAGGTTATTCGGGTGAAATCAAATATATAGTCTTCCTGTCCCGAAATTATTATTCAGAATTTGGATTATCAGTTCTAGTACAAATAAAAAATGAAAATCTAAATTAGATAATTAATTTTGGAATTGATAGAGTATTTAATGATCACATTCTGTAAGTTATGAAATGAAAGTTTCCTTCAACATCACATGGCATATTACTAGTTACAAAGATCATGTTAGTTTAAGTCATCTTCTTGGTTATGTAGATAGTTTTTGAAGAATGGGAAGGTACAAAATGCCTATGTTAATAATATGTTTGTTTCGTTCTTTTAATGTGTGTTTTTAAGTGTTTTTTTATATTGAAAATGTAAAAAGATATGTTGGGATGGGACAGATATTAATATATTATACTGAAAAACCATGAGAAAAAAAGAAACAAACAGAGCTAATATTGGAGAATAATAATTCAAAATATGTTGTCTAAATAGTGTTCCGAAAAATATATAGATTATCATCTACCGACTGTCATAATGTACAATATCTTGATTTGATGACTTTGTTATTGCTTTTAGCCTACAAACGCAAATAGTGAGTTAAAGCAACCAATAGTGAATCCACAATCCCGACATTACCTACTTGAATTTGAACATTTGATTCATTCACGCAAATCACACCCAAAATAAGATAAAGGTTACTACTTATGCAGGATCAAATTGAATAGTGCTACGTATATTACATTTGAACACAGGTAAAGACTAACTAAACTCATTTACTAAAAGTGAGATACTTGATAATTACCTTCATTCCCTGGAAAAGTATATAATTTTTCTTCCCAAATTTATCTATTTTAAATTTTTATTTTTATTTCAATTCAAACCAAACAATTTTTTTGGGATGAAGAGAGTAAGAGACAACAACAACAATAACCACAAGCCTTTTCCCCATTAGGTGGGGTCGGAAATATGAATCATATGTCACCATCGTGCTCGATTATTACATAAATCATCTCTCAAATTTAAATATATATATATATATATATTTTGAAATTAAGCGGTGAGATGAAAATGATTTTTTTTTTTTTTTTTGGTTGAGAAGAGTGAGTTTATTCTTGCGAAATTGCTATTCTCCATTGATTTGGATCTTAATTTTTTTGTTTCCAAACGATAATCATATTAATAGAAAAAAGCTTTTATAATTACATTGGGCTATTGTAATCTGCCTTAAACGAACAAGGCCCTTCAATATGGCCTCATAATTAGTGGGCCTCAATTCTAAAAAATCCATAATTCCTAATCTCCTCATAAACCAAAATTAAAAAGAATAATTAAACAAAATTAAAAAAACCCTGATCCTCCTCCTATAATTTCTATCTTTCTTCAGACCATCAGCTAACACTGCGGCCACTGTTTCATTCCAAAATTAGGAAACAAAAAATAGTAAAAATCAATCACAGATTAAAAAAATGAGGGCGGCGGCTCCACCGCCGATTATTTTAATCGCCACCATTTTCGCGGCGGTTTCCATTTCATCAACAGCAGCTTTCGCGCGTTCGGACACAGTACCCTTCATTCTGGCCCACAAGAAGGCCACTCTCACAAAGCTCCACCGCCCTTCCGATGAACAACGCGTCTCTGTCACCATCGACATATATAACAGTGGTCCGATGTACGTTTCATTTTCTTTTTTCATTTCTCTTGAGACATATAATTCATAAAATTACCGTACCTTCAATTCAATTTAACTTCTTCTTAGTTCTGGGCTGATTAATTTTTTTTTCGATGATATCGAAGTTCTGTTAATTTTTTTTTATTTTTTTCCTTCAAAAATTATGGATTAAAAAGAAAAAAACTGGTCAATTTTAGCCATTTGGGTTAGTTTAAATGTTTTTCTTTTTTCCCCCCGACACGATTCTAGTTTGAAGACGGAAGTTGTTGTAACGTTTTTGTTCTGTTTTGCATTTTTGTAGCCCTGCATATGATGTGAGTGTTGTAGATGATACTTGGCCTTCAGAAATCTTTGATCTGATCACTGGCAATACTTCCAATTCATGGAAGACACTTGAGAGGTACTAATCTTTTTATTTGGACTCCGGCCGGATGAGAAAACTAATTTGATTATTCCCACCACATTCAGTTATTAATTTGTAGTATGATGGCATGATGATCATATTTGTTTTTGTTTTTGTTTTTTTTTTTTGATTTGCAGTGGTTCATATGTATCCCACTCTTTTGAGCTTGTGCCTAAATGGAGGACTGTTTATCTGGGAGCTCCTGCTTTCATCAAATTTCGAGTTCCCCTCAAGTCCAAGTTTCAGGTATCAATCGCGAAATGGTGTTGCACCTATGCAAATTACTACATACTCACTCCGTCCCAAAATTATTATACAGTTTGAATTTTCATTTTTAGTTCAAATTGTACTAAACGTGAAATCTATAACTGTACTATAATTTTGGGACAAAAAGAGTACTTATCTTTCATTTTGGTATGTGTCACATTATTTGTTGAGTTACATTTTTTCAAGGAACTTGTTACTCGTCATGTGTGTTTTTGAATATTGTCAACTAAAATGATCAATGCGTCTGGCATATCACCTATGTTTGTAGGAAGCTTATTCAACACCTACTTTGGCTATTCATACCCTAGCCGATGAAGTCAAGACCGATAAATTGCAGCTGGTAAATTCATATGAACACGTATTGATGTTGTTGTCCTAATGCTTTCAGTTCATTAAATACCTTGAATGCGGTATTTATACTGTTTGCTTTTCTTGTCTTGGCCATAACTATGGAATTCTAAATCTCCCTGGTTGTCGAACTTGAACATGATCTCTCAGGTGAAGGTAATGGAACTATCTTTGTTGGCTTACTTCGTGGTACTATTTCTTTCTTTTCAATTTTATCCTGTGATCCATGTCTATAACTGGACCTTGATTTTTGGCAGAAATTGCTGGCAAACTATGGTTCTCATATCTCAGTGATTCTCATCGTGGGCGCTTTCGCCCACATCATCTTTTTCCCACCCAAATCAAACTCAGGAAATGTGAACAAGAAGCAGCACTGACGAGTATTTTCACCTAAGCCAAATTTCCTTTAGTTTTGTGCTTCACTCCAAGTTGACAACAAATGACTGCAGATTTTATGTTTTGGAAAGTACAAAATTTTAAAGGACCGATCTTTTGAAGGATCATATCCGATCTTGTAATGCCAACAATATCTTGGTTGGATTTCTGTTGTATTGTGTACCTGTACCAGCAGCATCTTTTGAACTATATATATACTAATATTTGAGTGTCGTGACAGCTCATGACCTCAGCAGTCCTTCTAACTAGGCCAATTTTTTTTTGGTCGCAATGCATGGGCACTATAGTGTGACATAGAGGGGGTACGAGACCCGAGCTACATCGTGAACAAACCAAGGCTTTACACTTGAAGGAGGAACTATCAGTTTCGAGTAACCCCTAACTACGCTAGTTTTATTTCATCAACCCGGACTATCAAAAATTGGACGGACAGTGTATTTTGTAATGGTTAAGAAGGTTTCAAGAAACGAAAGTATAAAAGTCGTGAGGCATTGTAACCACGATATTTTGACCAAATTTAATCCAAGAATACAGAGGAAAATAAATATTATTCCTTCTCTTCTGAAATGATCGTTCAGTTTGTATTCTCAAATTTAATTAATATAAAATATTTTGACGAGGGAGAACTTTTCTATCCCAAAAAAATAATTTAGTTGTAATACAACTAGATTTTGTTTGATCTTATAATTTACTTTCATCCTAGAAAATTAATTGATATTGTAACTTGTGAATTATATTGTTTTTTATTACAATCTGCAATTTACGAGATAGATTATTGTCGTGGGAGAAAGGAAATACTCCATGTATATAATAAAGATCGCAGTCAAGTTGCACAACAGGGTCAAGAACAAGAAAGACACGACATGTTACATGGGCCAAAGCCGAACGACAGCTGATACACAATTGTCCAAAATGACTTCCCAGTGGCCGTTCTCCAAGTGACATTATCTTCTGGCCTCCGAACATATATATATATATATTTTTAACGTGAAATAGTAATCCCACTTCATAATATAATAGCCTAGTATATATATATATATATATATATATATATATATATATATATATATATATAAAGTTGTTTTACTTCACTTCTTTTTTACTCTTGTTTCTCATTTATCCAAGTTATTACAAGAGATCTTACTCAAACGTAGAGAATGCACTAAACATTACAGTTGAGAAGGTGTGACATGATTCCTATGGTCTTATTTTAAAATTTACAACATAAAATTAAGTGTACGTAGTTATAAATTTTTCTTATAATAAATAGAACTCGAGAAAGTGTGTGTAATAGTTTTTTTTTAAAAAAATTAAACCATTGTGCTTCATCGAGGTAAATATATCGCGGGGAATATGATGGGATGTTACATGATCAGTGGGAAGCTTCCGAGGTATTGAACTTGGAAACTTTTCTTCTGTTTTAGGTGTTGTATTAAAAACTTCCAACTCAGTAGCACATTGGGTTCTCATTTTCTTTGGAAAATACCTTTTTTGGTATGCTTTTTTTTAACGAAGAATCCAATCTAATCAGTGTACAATGTACCAAAGTGCCCACTGTTTTGGATAACCAGGTGATAGATTTGTTAGGTATAGTAAAAATTTGTACCACTTTAATCAATGATGTCATGGAAATGGAAATGCATACTATTATGAAATCTATTTTTTTTTTCTCCTGTCATTTTCTTGGAGTCTTTGGTAATTGACCACTGACTAAATAGAAAAAAAAATTGATTCTCTTTCTCTATGTGATTGAATTATTATTGATCGCACTTTAAAATGACATTATAAATCTACAAATAATAACATATTATTGATTCGTTTTGACTAACGTGAATTTGTTTCTCTAGACTTCTCCAACTTCTTCTCAGTTCAAAGACGGTCAAATATTAATAATATTTTTTTTACGAAAATCACTAATTTTTATCTCACGTGTTGTAACTCATTTTGTTCTATTTTCTACTAAGATAATGAATTTAATTTCCTTAAAAAAACATAATATTGGTAGAAAAACCTTTTTTTTCGATTCTGGAAATTCATTGTTTCTAGAAGTATAAAATATCAGAAAATTTCCTCCATCAAGATTGGTGGTAAACTTCCAAGAATCTCGAATAACAAAAAATCAAAAAACAGAAAAAAAAAAAAAAGTTTCCCAAATATGAGTACAATTAGAAAAGTCATTCTTTATTTTTTATTTTTCAAAAAAAAAAAAATCCAAATCGGGGAAAGGGGGGACGGGTCAAAACCAATCTTCTCCCTCTCTTTTTCCTTTCTTCTTCCGTCTCTCTCTCTCTCTCTCTCTTCCCCTTTTTCTCTCATCGGGAAAATCTCTCTGGTTAAAGGGGGCGGAAAAAAAGAAGGTAATTAATTCGTTAATTCGCGCCCCTCCACTCTGATCTCCTTCCGTCCTCCTCCCTCCGCCGCCGCGCCGTTACTGGCTTTCCGCCTCCGGATCGGATCTCGAAGAAGTTTTCAAAATGATCACCATTCCTTATCTCACCGCCTTGACAACTTACTTCAGCTACGGCCTCCTCTTCGCATTTGGACAATTCCGTGACTTTTTCCGCAAGATTTTTGACTGGTGGCAGGCCAGCAACCTTCAGGTCTCTACGCTTAGCTTCCACAATGCTCTGTATCTGTCCTGTTTATTTTGCCTAATGGAATTTTCTGTTGAATTTCTGAAAATTGAATTTATGTGTTCTTCGGTAGGGATATGCTCCGATCTGCTTAGGCTTGGAGGATTTCTATATTCGCAGATTGTATCTTCGGATTCAGGTGCATATCATTCAATCTTTCCTCCTATGTCATTGTTTGATTCGTGGTATCACTTCTTCAGATATTTTCTTCAGATATCATTCAACATTTTCTGGCTTTTTTGGATAGACGAATTTGCCAAACGATTAGCTCTTTGTTATCCAAACATTTTTTAGGCTGCTTAGTTATGACATGAAGTATTGTTATTGGAGATGAGATGCCTAAGGAAACTTATACAGCTGCTGCAAAAGATATAAGGAAGATTTAAAACATGTAAAGACGTTACTTTGATTATTGGCTGAATCAGTAAAGTTATATTTGCACGGGAATCATCTTCGAGGCTGTAGCTTTTGACATTCTAAAGTCCGCAATCTGGAGCAAATGGACAAATGCAATTTCTTTAGTTTCTTATGAAAGAAAGATATTACTAAAACAATTGTACGAGTAGTAATTCTTTAGATCAAAATGTTGGGCAACGGGTAACTCATAGCAAAATGTACAGATACTGCGGGTTGGCATGTGAATGTCGAGCTGAATATGTAATAGCACCTGGGCGATATCCTCCTATATCAGTGAATGTATTGGATGAAGGAGAGGATACCCCTGACAGATGAGGAGTGCGGGTCACATGCTTAGAATGTTTTGGACTTTAGGCATATGTAAGACGTCGCTAGAAGACCCAGTACAGCTTCTAGTAGCAAAGGATCATTGACCCAAATGAAAGAGGAAAGAAACAGAGCTGGTTAACTTGATATGGAATATACAAAAGAAATGATATATTAAAACTGCTTGAAGATATGTGTTTTGATGAAGCATGTAATAAAATATAGTATATGTATAGTTGACTTTGCACAGTCGGGTACAGACATTGTTTGTTGCTTCTTAGTGATGAAGCTATCATTGCAGCAAGGCCTTTCTCATATTTGGGATAACTAAGTTGGTTATGGAATTTAGATTAGATTCTGCACTTATAAGACACAAGATGATGTATGTAAACAGGGTTAAAGGGAACTGAGGGAAAGGGGTGATGGTTTTTAGAGGAAGCATAGTTTGAAGATGCTTCTAATTGGATCTATTGGTGGCAATGAATCATGCCAAAATAGAAATCCAAGGATCACCAGTATATGAAAGTAACTGGCCAATTTGACTTGACTTGACTGTAGTTGTTAGGGTGCGTATGCTGGTGAAGAATCTTCAATAGAAGGGAGATTTAATTGACTTTCTTTGGTTGCACTTCTTCCAATTTTTTGTTCAGAAAACAAAGAAGATGATATGGCGATGTGTATTATTGTTTCTATGCAAAATGGATAGTTAAGACGATCTGCTTCATTTCTGATTTGGCATGTGCATGCAGAGTATATTACATTATTTTTTGGTTCATTTGTGTTATCCTCTTCTTTCTTTCTTTTTTTTTTTCTTTTTTTTTTTCCCGTGTCATTTCAATAGAAACCTTGTTGAGAGAGTTGTCGTTATGCGTAGGTTCTTACGTTTTTGGGTTGTATTACTTTTGTATTCATTCTCTCTCCTTGCCTACATGATCCGTAGGATTGTTTTGGACGACCAATATCAAGTCCTCCCGATGCTTGGTTTGATGTGGTGGAACGTGTTTCAAATGACAATAACAAGACGCTGAAGTGAGTGTTTAATTTGTGTTGACTTTGATTTGTAGATGTGTGCATTTTGGGTATTTAGCCCCTTCAGTGCATCCTCTTGCATAAAGTTGATATTATGTGAAACTTTTAGACCTATACTCAAACCAAGTGGTTTTTGGTGCAGGCGGACCACAGTAATCAATCGGTGCCTTAACTTGGGATCATATAACTACCTAGGATTTGCGGCCGCTGATGAATACTGCACTCCCCGAGTTATTGAAACTTTGAAGAAATTTTCCCCAAGCACCTGCAGTACTCGTGTTGATGGAGGTAAGCATTGTATCTTTATGAATGCGTTTAATTGGATATGGTGAACAACGTTGAACCCTGTATAATGACTTTTTGTACTCCATAAAAATCAGGTACAACAACACTTCATTCTGAACTGGAGGAGGTTGTGGCAAATTTTGTTGGAAAGCCAGCTGCAGTTGTCTTTGGTATGGGATATGTGACAAATTCCGCTATCCTTCCCGTCCTAATTGGAAAGGTATATTAAATATTGAAATTTTTCCTACATCTGTCCCTCTTTTTTGTTCTTCTGTTTTTTTTTTTTTTTAAAAAAAATTTACTGCAGTATGTTTTTGATTGTGTCCTAACATTTCATGTGTTTGCTTCCAGGGGGGTTTGATTATCAGTGATTCCTTAAACCACAATTCTATAGTTAATGGTGCACGAGGTTCTGGAGCCACAATCCGGGTTTTTCAACACAACAGTATGTTCAAGAGACCATTTTGTAACGCGGATGTTATGCCTGTATTGAATATGAGATATCTGTTTCTTAATAACTTCCTTCGTTGTTGATTTTAATAGCACCATCCCATTTGGAGAAGGTTCTAAGAGAGCAAATTGCTGACGGACAACCCAGGACCCACAGACCTTGGAAAAAGATAATTGTGGTAGTGGAGGGGATTTACAGCATGGAAGGAGAGCTCTGCAAACTTCCTGAGATTGTTGCCATATGCAAAAAGTACAAAGTAATGCATCTTCTCAGTTGAAATCTCTTAGGAATCTGACTGTTTAGGTGTACGTTGGGCATCAAAAAGTATGTGTGTCACTGTAAACAAGTATGAGCTTTGATGATTTAACTTTGCAATTATTTCTGTTGCTACCAAATTGATCCAAGCTTTTTGGCTTGCAACTGTTAAATGAAGTAAATATGCTCGTAGCTGAATCTCTTTGAGTTCTTAAAATGCAAAGATTCCTGAGAATGATCATATATTGTCATTACGCTCTCCCAGATTTTTATAATGGAAACAAATAGCTCTAAATTTCAGGGATGGATTATGTAGTTTCTCCTGCATGGATATTCTCAATTTGTTGAGACAGTTTTTATGTGTTAAATCATTACTGCATTCAAAACATATCTAAACATTTTTTTGTGCATTTATATGTCGTTTGTCTTACCACCTTGACAATCTTTAAAACATGTACTTTGTTCTAAATTCCATGTTTGCTGTATAGGCATATGTTTATTTGGATGAGGCTCATAGCATTGGGGCAGTTGGCAAAACTGGAAGAGGTGTTTGTGAGCTCCTTGGAGTCGATACAGCCGATATTGATATCATGATGGGGACTTTTACAAAATCATTCGGATCCTGTGGTGGCTATATTGCCGGGTCTATGGTTGGTGTTTTTTTGCTTTTCTTTAATATAACTTATGGCTTGCCCATTGTGTGCAAGTAACAAATTTAATTTCATTGGTGATAGTATTTGGACTCAAAGTGAAAACTAGTCTGTTATATTTTGAGTTGATATCTCTGATGAAAACATTTTCTAAGGACTTGAAAGTCTCACCCAACCCAAAAAAAAAAAAACAAAAAAAAGAAAAGAAAAGAAAAAGATCAACGTTCACTTCAGATAACTAGCATTATGAATACATTTTGAGATTGAGTTGTTAGTTGTTACTCAAATCATTATATTGCTAGACATTAGTTCCCCATATGCTGCAGGGACTTTAGGGTTTCAATCTTTTTGTTTGCCACTTTTGTGTAGTTGTAATCTGTCAGTCTTCATTCCAGTAAGTGCAACTATGTAAATGATCTTTTCCTAACTGTTTAACACATTATCATGATTTCAGGAACTTATACAATATTTGAAGTATACCTGTCCTGCTCACCTGTATGCTACATCTATCTCTCCTCCAGCTGCCCAGCAAATTATTTCTTCCATAAAGGTCATCCTTGGGGAGGATGGTTCTAGTAGAGGTTGGAGAACTTCTTGCACTGATAATAATTCTCTCCTTTAAGATGGCAAATTATTGTCAGGATTGTATCATAATCATGTTAACCATATTGGCTGCTCTTACAGGTGCTCAGAAATTAGCAAAGATTCGTGAAAACAGCAACTTTTTCCGTTCTGAACTACAGAAGATGGGATTTGAGGTTTTAGGAGATAATGATTCTCCTGTAATGCCGATAATGCTTTACAATCCAGCCAAAATACCTGCCTTTTCACGAGAATGTCTCAAACAGCAAGTATGCGCTGTCCTTTTAATAACGGTCTATGACTACGTTGTTTTGTTATTTTCGGCTAGATGGATACTTACTTTTTTTTGTTTGGTTAATTATTCCACCTATGGTTATTTTAGGTGGCTGTGGTGACTGTTGCTTTTCCAGCTACACCTTTGCTTTTGGCCAGAGCTAGGATCTGCATTTCTGCTGCACATACCAGGGAAGATCTTGTCAGAGCATTAGAGGTGAGACATCTTTAGTTTTGTCATTAATGTTCATGTCCCATATCTGGAACTGAAGGGCCTCATCTACTTCTTCGTAGATAATTATAACTAAAGTTAATGTGAAAATTTCGGACTAAGTTTTTTGTTTAGAAACTTGCATATAAGTAGATAAAACCCCATTAGTGCATTCTTTCGAATATTCAAAGGACCTTCTAATCTTCTGGCCTCTGGGATGTGTGAGACATTATTTTGTTAGGTTAATAATGAGTAGAAGATTTTCAAGGCCTGATTTGGCTGAATTACGTGTTTTACAATTCTATCAATATAATCCAATTATATGCGCCAAGTTTGTTGTACACTTGACTGGAAGAAATGTGGATGTTGCATTTTGTAGGACATGGTGCCTTTGGACAAGTTTTTAACTTCGGTTGTATCTCATTTGTTGCACTTTAATTTGGTCTAGCAAAATTAGACCTGCCTATAAAATTAGGGAAAAGGTGATCTAATTAGTAGTACATTTGATTCCCACAGGTTATAAGCAGAGTTGGTGATCTGGTTGGCATTAAGTACTTCCCAGCTGAACCAAACAAGCAGCAGCTAGATGATGGCCGAGTCAAGCTGGAGTGATCTGTATTCTTTCGCCTGGGTTTCTTCAAAGGGGCTCTGGAACCGTCGCCCGTGGTCACCAGTACCACTACCAGTAGCAGTACGTTTGCTTGGCTTAATTCCCTGGACATAAGCTACTGAATTTTGACTATTTTGTACAGAGCTGTATTATCCGTGTGAGAATCTGTATTATTGCTTAAATGAGCATTAATCACAGGTTATGTACTGGTATAGTTAACATCAAAGTCTGACATTTGCACAATGCGTTGGCGAGCTTGTATTCCAGTCATTAGCAAATTCTGTTCTGAAAAGTTGGGAGAAACATACGTGTAATCGCCAGGTTTTTTTAGTTTCGTTGTGCTCGATGAGTGAGATTAGGAGCAAACAATGGTTAGGTGCTAGCGATTTTGTATGTTTATAATGCCAGATTATTGCTCTAATGCTATTTAACTGTACCTTGAATTCAATGCATGTATAGGATTATCGAAAGGGAATTGCTGATGTTGATGCTTTTAAAGTAAAAAGAGGAAATGAATGGGAAAAGGGTGATTCTTTTAAAACTGAAGTATTCAATCAAATTACCTGTTTTGTAGTGTCTTTATCCATTCTTCTCTCGCAAACAAATTTAAATTAACCAGGAATGGAAGCAACTTGATAGTGTTAACAGAACCAAACTGGAATTCGATACTGTGAAGGCAGAACAATGGCAAGGCATGTTATTTGATCGTATTCTCTTCTACCTGATAAACAGAAACCGATCCTGAGCTCCTTACAAAGTGTTTAAGGAAAATCAAGCTAATCGTTTTACACAATCACATCTATTTTCTCTAAATTTCGCCTCCAGCAGCCTGAATCTTAATCAGTTTCCAAAATGATCCGAATCTGACCGCCTAAATAACTTTCTTCAACTTTGTCCTCCTCTTGGCATTCAGATAACTCCGTGAGTTTTTCCAACCTTCGGGAACTCCATGACCAGCTTACCTTTAAAAATGCCACGCAACTTGGGCCTTTTTTTTTTTTTTGTTGAATTCTGGGAAAACTGAAATTAATGTGTATGTGTTGGTGCGTTTTTTTTTTTTCCTTGTTCAGAGAGTGTGTATTTTTACATAATATTTGTTGGATATTATGTACCTGATTCCTGAAGTTCCTGAACCCCGACGATAACATATTTTAATGTTTATACTAACATAAATCCACATTAAAATACGTTGTTTTGTTTGCCGGTGCTTAGGAATGAGACCATCATTGAGCAGAAGACTTTGGATTTTATATTTTGATCGATTCGGTACGATTCTAATATGATTCCAAAACAAGTTACGATTTTATCTATTCATGATCGATTTCGTGATTCCGGAACGTGATATCGTGCAATACGATCTAGACCGTGATTTTGAAAACATTGCTTGCACATTATAAGTTAACAAAGTTCATTTCATGGAGATAGTATTTGGAAACAAAGTGAAAACTAGTCTGTAACATTTTGAGTAAACAATTCTGGTGACAACAGTTTGTAAGGAGTTTGAAATGAGCAAAATTCGATTTAACTCGCAAGCAGCATGAATGCGTTTTTGTTAGTGTAGGTAAATATAGTTAGTGTAACTATTTACTTTACTTAGTTACGGTGTAATTATTTACTCATTGTAAAACCCTAACCCTACACATATATATATTCTTATGTTGCCATCACTACGGGCAACTTTTGGCCGACCATTTCATGCTGCCTCCTTCTCTACTTGTTATGGTATCATAAGCAAGGTTGATCTTGTTCTAAAACTATACAATTTTTTTTTTACGATCATGGGTGAACATGATGATCGTGTTCAAACTTCTGGCGTAAAGGAGAAGACCGTTGCTACCCTTGACAGCAACAATGATGTAGCTAACCGGCGAAAGATCTTGCCATACGATTTGACGGCGAATGATAATCCCGGTTCGTTGATTACTAATGTTCAATTCAAAGGTCACAACCATGAAGAATGGTCGAGGGCAATTCGTATGGCTTTGAGGGCTCGGAAAAAAATTTGGGTTTCTTGATGGCACAATCAAACCTCCTGTTGATGATGAAGATCTTCTTGCTGATTGGTGGGCTAACAATAGCCTTCTTTGTTCGTGGGTTTTGAATACTATCGAACCGGCCACAAGATCGTCCATTTCTAGCTTGGAGGAAGTTCGGGATTTATGGCTCCACATTCGCTCCCGTTTTTCGGTCGTTAATGGGACGCGAATTCAGCAATTGAAGACGTCTCTGGCTGAGTGCAAGCAAAAGGGAATGAGTGTGGCTGCATATTACGGGAAATTCTTATGGGAAGAGTTGGCTGATTATGAGAAGCCGCCGACCTGTAAATGTGGGCTGTGCAAATGCAATCTTCCAGCTGAATGGGATCGGAAGCGAGAGGAGTCAAAGGTCCATCAATTTCTTATGGGCTTAGATTCTACTCTCTACGGCACGGCTCGTTCTAATCTTTTGGCGCAAGAGATTCTCCCCAACTTGGACAGAGTTTATTCTGTAATGATTCAAGAAGAAAGACTTCGTTCCGTTGGTATTGATTCGGAAGTCCAGGGCGGAGAGGTGGCTGCCTTTGCGATTCAGGCTGGAGGATCCGCTGCTGCTGCAAATTCTGGTTCGGGGCCTGTTTTGTCGGTTTCTTCATCAGGCTCTCGCGGTCGTGGCAAACGGGCTGCAGCTGATCGGACTCCGCAGGCTTGCAATTATTGCGGTCGTTCGAATCACGATGAGGACTCCTGCTTTGCGAAGAATGGGTATCCAGATTGGTACCGGGGGCCTCGCGGGTTGGCTGTTACTACTCCCTGGTCTGCTGCTGCTCAGCCGGTGCCAACTAATGATGCTGGCCGTGGAATTGCTACAGCTGGCCGTGGCAATGGAGGTGCAGCAGCTGGGCGTGGAGCTGGAGTTGCGCGAGCTCATGCAGCGCATGTTTTTGATGCCTCCGCTGTCCTGGGTGACGGTGATAAAGCTATCACTGGTTTGAATGATGAGCAATAGCACAAGGTGATTGATTATTTGAAATCCGGCAATGGTGGTTTGAATGATGCGCTTACCAGTAAGCATTTCTCTACTCAGTGGATGTATGATTGTGGTGCTAAGCATCATATGACAGGATTTTTGGAATATTTTTCAGATATTTGGGATATTTCGGCGCGTCCGGTTCAGCTTCCAAATGGAACATTAACTATCGCCAACAAGGCTGGGACAGTTTGTCTTAATAGCAATGTGAAGTTGCTTAATGTTTTGTTCGTTCCGAGTTTACAATGCAGTTTAATTTCTCTGTTTCAATTTTTGGATCAATCTCACTGTGTGGCACAATTCACTAATACCTTTTGTGTTATACAGGACCGTACTTCGAGGATGGTGATTGGCGCAGGTGAGCAGATGGGGGTCTCTACTTCTCCCGGGGGACGGTGATTGCGGCTGTTATACGGAGTGAGTGGAGGTGATCTTTCATCTTCTTTGTGGCATGAACGTTTGGGACACCCGTCGTCTAGAGTTCTTCAAAGTTATCTGTTTATAATCCTACAGTTGGTAGTTCTTTGAATAATAAGTCATGTGATGTTTGTATTCGTGCAAAACAATCACGAGATAGTTTTTCTGTTAGTGAAACTCAGAGTATTGAATCTTTTCAGTTAATACATTGTGATTTATGGGGTCCATATCGGGTTCCTGCTTTTTCTGGTGCACTTTATTTTTTTACTGTGGTTGATGATTATTCACGTGCCACATGAATTTTTCTACAGAATGATAAAACAAAGGTGTATGTGTCTTTGTTGAATTTTTTTGCTATGGTGCATAGGCAATTTGGTAGATTGGTGAAAATTGTACGCAGTGATAATGGCTTCGAATTTTTATGTATGGGCTCTTATTTTTCGTGAACATGGCATAATTCATGAAACTTCTTGTGTTGGAACATCACTACAAAATGACCGTGTTGAACGTAAGCATCAGCTCATCTTGAATGTTGCTCGTGCTTTACTATTTCAGGCTTACTTACCTCTTGAGTTTTGGGGTCGTTGTGTGTTAACGGCTGGATATCTGATTAATCGGCTTCCCACACCTCTATTGCATGGTAAATCCCCATATGAGTGAGTTGTTGTTTGGTAAAACCCCTTCTCTTGATCATTTAAGGGTGTTTGGATGTTTGTGTTATGTCTATAATCAAGATCGGCGGGGCGATAAATTTGCCAGTCGTAGTCGTTGATGTGTGTTTGTTGGTTATCCCTTTGGGAAAAAGGGTTGGCTTGTATGACATTGAGTTGGGTGTTTTTTTGGTATCTCGTGATGTTATCTTTCATGAATATAAATTTCCTTATTTGACTTCTGCTTCACTGAGTCTACTTTACCTATCTCTGTATCAACGGATCCTATTCCTATCTCTGTATCGACGGATCCTATTGTTGACATTAATGAGGATACTAGTGTTGCCCATCCGGCGGTTCCATTGTCTGATTCCCCTACCATGGAATCTTCTTCGCCTGATTCTCTTATTAGTGAGGAGTCCGATGTCAGGGGGCTGCTGTCGCCTGTTCCTAATGAGGAGTTGGGTCGTGGCCATTGCACTAAGCTTCCATCTACTTGTCTGCGGGATTATGTGACTGAGACCATTTGTCCCCCACACCCCTCTGCTGACTCATCTGCCCCTTCATTGTCCTCAGGTACTCCTTACCCTATAGCACATTATGTGAATTGTCATTTTTTTTCACCTGCACATGAGGTGTTTTTGGCAGCTCTTTTTGCTGAAGTTGAGCCACAGACGTTTGTTGAGGCAGTTAAGGATGAACGCTGGCATGTTGCTATGCAATCTGAGATCCAGGCTTTGGAGAATAATCGGACCTGGGATGTTACCTCTCTTCCTTCTGGTAAGAAAGCCATCGGTTGTAAGTGGATTTACAAAATTAAGTATCATTCTGATGGATCTGTTTAGCATTATAAGGCTCGTCTTGTAGTGTTGGGTAATAAGCAGGTTGAAGGTATTGATTACAAGGAGACTTTTGCTCCTGTGGCTAAAAAGGTCACTGTTCATCTGTTTCTTGCTGTGGCTGCTGCTAGGAACTAGGAGATACATCAAATGGATGTGTTCATAATGCCTTTTTACATGGTGATTTGGATGAGGAAGTTTTTATGAAATTTCCTCCTGGATTTCAGTCCTCTGTGGTTGGGCAGGTTTGTCGTCTTCGCCGTTCTTTGTATGGCTTGAAAGAGGCACCTAGATGTTGGTTTGCTAAACATGCTCGAGCTTTGAAACAATATGGATTCTTTCAGTCCTATTCTGATTATTCATTGTTTACCTTGCATCGTAATGATGTATATCTTTCGGTGCTAGTATATGTGGATGATCTTTTTATTTCGGGTAATGATAGTACTGCCATTCTTCAGTTTAAGACATACTTGAGTGATTGCTTTCATATGAAGGATCTTGGGGTCTTGAAGTATTTTCTGGGTATTGAGGTTGCTCGAAATTCCACTGGTTTATTCTTGTGTCAAAGAAAATATGCATTAGACATTGTTTCAGAGGTTGGCTTGTTGGGTGGCAAAC